AAATAGAACAAGTAAATAAGGAATAAAAATATATAAATCGACAATTGTATGTGCAGGTATATTACAATAGACAGTTTTGTATGTACAGGTATATTAGTGCAAATTTGAAATGTAGACTAAGTATGTGTGTTAGATAAATAAGTGTGTGAGTGTATAAATAGTGTTGTGTGATCCACAGTTATTGTCAAGTGTTCATGAGATGGATTGCCTGAGGGAAGAAACTGACAACATAACATATGATAACATAACATGACAACATATAGCGAACGACATAAAAACATTATTTACATCACTGGCAAAAATACATTTTCATTATAATAAAGTGTTCCTTAATAGAACATATGTCAAAAAATGAAACATCAGAATAACTGAGTGTTCATAGTCTAATCTACAGAGCACTGATGAACAAAACAGTCAACATATATGTGAATAAATTTTCCCCGTAGTGAATTTTTGTCAGTATTTCAATATTAAATCCTTAATCGTTCAAATTTGCTAGTTTTGACTAGCAACGCTATCATGTGCCTCGTCTCCAGCCAACAGCTTCCTGATGGTTTGTTAATATTCAAAATATTATTAATAGTATACTGAGCAGAAATGTAAATTCAAAACGTACTAGTAACTATTAAGTTCAGGATGTCCTTGGTCTGAAAAGTGACTAGTAACTAAAAATTAAGTAGTTCTAATTTTTCTTAACAAGTAAAGTATAATTAAATGCTAGTCGCTACTGGAATAAGTACTAGTATCTAATAAATAAGAACTAGTATCTAATGAAAAAGTATCTTAAAGATGTACTAGTACCTAAAGAACACGCACTAGCATCTAAAGAATAAACACTAGTTGTTAATGAATATGTACTAGTACCTCATCAAATATTTACTAGTGTCTAAAAAAATAAGTACTAGTAGCATGAAAATAGCTAGTACATTTTAAACATTAAAAGTTAAAATGGCTTGCCATAGAATAAGTACACTAAGTATTAGATCATTATACTGGGTTTAATCATATTACAATAGTGTTTGGTCTGAGGGAACAGAAAATGGTAAGAGTTTGTACCTTTATTGATCTATTTTTTGTATAGTTATGGTATCATATTTTACATATGAAATTAATTTGCTGTGAATTTTGTTGGCAACACTGCTTATACAGCACATATGTACAATTTTAAACTTTGATGTGCACATCATTTGTCACAAATCCTGCTATAACTAAACAATATTTAATTTATCATTTAAGCATTTATATACAAACACAAGAGGACAGACAACACAAAACAGTTGGCTTATTCATTATTACTGCACTTTATTATTGATATTTTTTAAAATTGCATTCGTTTATAACATTGCCTGAGGTGAGAAATCATAAAAAATTGTAAATAAACAATGATATAAGAAGTGACTGTACAAAAAAATTCACAGGTAAAACAGTTTGAAGATTTATGCAAAGCAGCGCAGTTTTTAATAATCAAACAGGGCGAAAATCATTCAAATAACGTTATAAATAAATAAATAAATAAATACAAAGAGATAAATCAATAAAGTGCATTCTGTAACATTGCTTGTATTCGTTGCGTGAGTAACGGTGTCTAATCTAAACTCACTGACACGATCTATCCTACATACACACACTTCACAGCACAAACCAATCTGAAAACACAATAAAGGCATATACACCCTACCCAAATATTATTAAACTTATAAAAGATGACATTATCCTCACAAAAAGTACTGTGGTGTTACCATGGTACAATGATGGTACCTGATATATACCATGGATCATAGATACACCACTGAATCATTAACATATCCATGTATATTCAGGGCAATACCATCGTGTATGTCCAAAAAAATTTTTATTATTGTGGTACTACGTCTAGAAGAAAATACCAAAGAACATATTCAGGTTAATATATTTGGGTGAAGTGTAAAGTCCTCTATTGGCAATCAAGGATCAAGGATCGACTGATTTGGAAGAAAATCATTGCATTATCATGGCACCAAACACTCCTAAGACATCGCTAGATTCACTACACAGAGTCTCCAAAGGACGTTCACACAAACGTGAGAGTGACCGTGTGATTTAAAGTGTAAACAGATTGGATCAGTTCCTCATGTAACATGAAGCCACTTCTAAAACATCGTTTCATCTCTCGCAGACCACTAGACGTTTACATGTCAACCTACTACGTCATTACTTCCTATAAAAGTTGGACACAATGTAGCAAAAGTGAATTAAAAGCCCTGAATGGAGTCAAATGAAACACATCTACACATGTACCACCTCACACTTCACAAACTCTTCTGCATATACTAAAGAATAATTCAGGCTTCGTCAGATTTGTAAGAATTCAAGTGTATAATCCACAGTGCAGTTACTGGCCTATAATATATATATTCCAACAGGATGACATCATAGTGACCTATTTTCTTCATAGAGTTCATCTAATAATCTCAATATCATTTCTTAACAATGTCATCCTTGAGGTTTTCCCTTCAGTCTCAGGGTGGCAAATTAAAACTATATAGACTCTCCTTACTCCTTTCTAAAGACAGTTAAATTCATCCACATAAAAGTCAACATGAAACGACATCTGCAACCCAATTTAATTCCGTAACAGTCATGCTTCTTTTCCAAATCTGTTTATGCATTAAATTACTCTATTAACTAGTCGGTAAAAAGGCTGCATTTCCTACTAAGTAGCTATTTGACTACAGACTTAGTCCGGGTGGATCAAATATTACATTTTATGCAGATTAAACAACATTGCAATCCATTAAGAAAGTAAACATGGTGAATTCTGATTTCATGTTGACTTCTGCTGGGCATTTCCAGTGCAAATGTAATTAAGACAACAGAAACAAGCACTTATACATATAGTTCTGTCCTTGTGCAACAATCAATTCCATTTTCCACCAGTTAAACCCTCCCAAACCTCTAGTTAGGCATTCTGTTGCCTCTAGTATAGCGCTACTGTTGGCAGTTTAACAGTATTGCTGAGGTACTGGACTGAGATCGTTTAGATCTATGGTGTCGGTCACTAAGTAAACACTTTAACAACCTCGCGTTTCTAAATCTGCCAAACTGATTGGTTGATATGGTGGTGAATGACAGGTCATGCCCTCTACAGACCGGGCAGGAATGATTGGATGTGCAGTGTTCACTAGCATTAGGTCTTTGTTTCATTTTTCATATCTCATTTTTTTGACTCATTGATTCACAATATACATGTAACATGCATCTAGAGAGACATACTGGTTTGTTCTACATCCACATACAATGGTGCATATATTCTTACAGCATATGCAAAACAAACATATTTGACAACGGTCATTTTGAAGCACCTTTACTTGATTTTTTGTGTGTGTTATATCTTGGTTTGATGGCTGTAGAGTCTTTTGAACAGTCTGCATTTGGACAAATACTGGGAACACATCCTATTTAAAGTTCCGAACTGAAAGTTCCCATTAAGAATATTACGAATGCTTGGAAGAGCTCTTTGATGCCTTTTCAGGCTTTGACGATCCAGGACCGGGCCATGTTCCCGTCAAGCCACGGCGACTCCCAGACGAGGCCTCAGACTTTCCCAACGTGGTGGCTCGTTTGTCCTCGTTGGCTTTGGCGCTGTCTTTGGCCTTGCCGCCATCCTGAGAGCCCAACTTCATCGGCCCGAGCACAGTTTTAGCCACACTGGTGAGCTGCGTCACGAAGCTGGACCTGTCGCCTGGAGTTACAGCACGTGATTTGCTTGCGCAAGGCGATCGGGCGGTTGGAGACGGAGAGGCTGGGGACTCTTTGGCTGCTTCCAGGCGACATCTTTCCTCTTGAGGGCCTCTGGTTGACCCCGATGGGGTTTGAACCCGTTCTTCAATGGTTTTGGACTGGGCAGGAACTGCTTCTGAGACTTTCGGTGCAGCAACAAGACTAGGTGCAGTCCCCTCAATGTTTAGAGGTCCTTTACCTGACTTGTTTGCTTCAGGAGCCATTGCCTGCGCAGTTTTCTCCTTCACTGGGACCTTTCCCATGTCTTTTCCATTTTCCAGCCCTTTAGGACCATCAGTTTGAAGGCTATGGGGTTTGAGTTCCTGTGCTCCAGAGCCCTGGACAACTGGCGTCTGCTCTGGGATCTTGGGGCCAGATACAATTGCATTAAGAGTTTCGCTCTTTCCCATATCCCTGGCTGCTTCCTTCCCTGTCAAGACAACTGATACGTGAGAAGACTCAGACTTGGAGGCCACTTTCTCCTTCTGAAGTGGCTCGCCAGACTGGGTTGATTTAGGATCCAAGGTGGGTGCTACTGGTTGGGTTTTCGACGCAGTCCTTAAAACGACTTCACTTGAGTTGGGCTGCCTCGCTTTCTCCTCGGACTCTTGTCCCGCCAATGAGTCCTGCCTCCCGAGCTGCCTCACCGGACTCATCGTGAGCTTGGCGGGTGTGTGTGTTGGTGTCTGGTCGGGTGGAGAGGGCGGAGCCCCAGGCGTGTTCTCGCCCTCAATCTCCATCAGGCTCTGGAGGGCGTGTTCACAGTGGAACGACTCCCGGCGGTATTCGGCGTGCACAACTTCCAAACCATGCTTCCTCATGGACACGCAAAGCCCTCCTTTTCTGTCCGAGCCCACGGAAGACGAGGAGGACGGAAATGAAGGCGGAGGGGGTGGGCCGAGCTTCTCTGCCGACTGCACCCGTTGAAGAAGAGGCGAACGGGGTGGTTCTGCGCTCTTGGGCCGGGGGCGGGTGATTGGAGGAGAGGCGTGGAGCTTGGCGGGGAAGGCCTGTGTGGTGTTGGAGCTGCCGACGGTGTGTCCAGCGATGGGTGGCGGGGAAGACGAAGTAGGGGACGGCGTGTGAGCCAGCGGAGACAGAGGAATGTTCCCAGCGGATTTGCAGCGAGCAGAACGGTACTGCCGGTGGAGTTTGGGCGAGAGACCATAAAGAGAGCTCGGCCGCATGTGCTGAGATGTTGCAGGCGAGTTTGGCGTGCTGGGTGCTGGAGAACTGCTCTGAGACGACGTGCCTGAGAGGACAAGGACAGAACAGCTCAGAACCTCAAAGAAACTTGAAAAACTTGAAACTTGGCACACAATCAGTCAAAACACTCAGCACTGACTGAAGCCAAATATCAAAGGTTAATGTAGTTCATTTCAATGCAAGTCAAAAGGAAAGAAGCACCACGTGTCACAGAAATATCATCTTTAGTAGGTCAAATGTTTGTCAAATACATACTATTAGGCAGCATGTTTTAATTTAAACTCAATTTTGCATGGCATGGCTAATTTTCTTCTCTAGGAAGGAGTTATTTTGTGACCAGACATTTGTGCATGTTTAATGTTATTTAAATTCTTTGTCTACCCAAATCATACTCTTGTGTGTTATCTCATGTTGCATGCATATGAACACAGACGCTTCTAGCCACAAACTTGATCTTCAGAGACAATGGATTCTGCATGAGGCACATAATGAGTGATATTCATGTATGTATTGCTATATCCACACTGTTGCAAGGGGCGCTAATACACACAGTTACAAACATTAAACAGCAACTCTATCGCCACCTTGAGTACTGTTGCTGTCGCTGTAATGCACTGTAATGCATGTTAAGTATATAAAACGACTACACACTTGTAATTTGTTGCATCTGAATTTGCATACTTGCATGTAGTAAAATAAAAAATAAATAATACATATAATAAATAACAAAATGTATATACATATAATAAAAAACTACTTGTTCAAACTAAAACAAGTATAAACAACACCACAGATTCAGCCAATGAGATTTGTAATATAATCATAAAGCAGTGGGAGGAGCTCTGACCGAGGAAGGCGGAGTCTGGAGGAGAGCGGTACGTCTGCGTGGGCGAGCGAGGTGACAGGTTGTGTGTCGGCGATCCAGGTAGACTGTCTCCAGACGACAGCGAGCGATTCAGAGAGGACAGACTACGACTGGTGTGAAGCAGGTTGGACTGTTTTGTGATCTTACGAAAGAGAGAGCTGCGCTTCTTACTGTAGACAGACACAGAGAGAGGGGCAAATTGAGTAAAGCAATTACTGTATATATACAGTATGTGGTATACGGTTCTGTAAATATATTTGCTCTTTCTGACCTCTCTTGTCCATCTTTTGCGACTGACTTCTTGTTGCGTCTGGCCATCTTGGCTTTGTAGCTCAGCTTCCTGGCCGGTCCGATCTTTATGGACGTGTTTTCGAATGGAGTGGTTGTGACTGTCACTTTGCTTTCACTCTGAAAATTTAATGTGCCATGTTAAATGTATTGATTAATATCTCTGTAACGTAACTATCAGGTGTGTTCGTGATGCCCATACCTTCAGAATGAGCTCCACCACCTCTGTGTGCACCAATCCGTGCACAGACTCCCCGTTCACATGGGTGATGAGGTCACCAGCACAAAGCCCCGCCTCCTGGGCCGGCCCACCAGACTCTACATGCTGTGATTGGACGAAAGCAATGTCAATCATCACATGTAACACATTCTTTAGCTATAAATGAGAAGAGCGTTCCAGAATGTTTCCATACCCAGACCATGTGATGCACGCTGTAGACGTTACTGTCGCCCATGTAGACTCTGATGGCACGCAAGGTGAAGCCGTACTTCTTTCCAGAGCGATGGATAGTGATTGGTGAGCGCAGGACATTGACTGTAGGTGAGTAGTCACGACTCGGAGACGAGTCACGAGACGAGGGATTGGAGGAGATGGAGCGAGGAGACATGGGACTGGCTAGAGGTGACGTACCATGCTGCTCAACTATGAAACCAACCATCATAATATTACAAAAGCTCATGTCAACGCAAATGTATATTGAAATGCTTGATAATGCTTGACTAAAAATAATTATTCAATTAATGTACAAAGGTGAACACTTTTTTTTGCGATTTTGTAGGTTGTTGACATTTCTTATCTAAAAAAACACTTCATTAAACAAAAGCAGGGAGAAATTGTTTCATGCTAATTTTTTTACACAAAATTTGTGCATGGAACAGTTTACATAAGAATGGTTTTACGAACGATTTACACATAAATCTGCATGTTTCATAAATGAGACCCACAAAAAGGCTCATTATTAATATGTTTTTTTTTATTATACATTAAACAAAACGTAAATTACGTCTTACGTCTATATTATAGAATGTGTACACAAATAATACAAAAACCAAAAAAGAAAACTTGTATTTTTTACAATCAAAATGTTTTATTGATATTTTATTGGTTGTTGACATTTATAGTGTTTGTACACTCTAGTGTATGAAAAGTAGTGTTGCGATTTGCGATTACATTTTATTTTGTATTTTTATTAATTATTAATCATTATTAATGTATTTTTATTATTATACATAAAAACATGCCATAAAAAAATACAAAAATCAAAAAGAAAATATTATTTTCATGTTGAAGCGCTATGATTTTATTGGTTGTTGTTAATTATAATATTAATAATAATAATGAAATGGTGTCTGAGGTCTCACCTGCAGGTATGATGACAGACAGGGCCGTGGCGGAGGCCGACTTTATGACTTTGGTTCCTGAGCGAGTTGCGTTACGTTTCTCACTGTCAGTCGGAATCTGATGATGTCGCGCTCTTCGTAAGACGAGGTCACTTCCTACGCGAGGCCCAAACGAGTCTGGTATGTGTAGAGGAGCCGCGGCAGTGGCGGCATCGGCAGGCCGCAGGAGTTTATCTGAGAGACAGGAAGATACAAAACTAATTCATATGAATGTGAGATAAAACTGGACGGTATTTTGAGTGATTGACACCCAGGAGCACAACAGTAGAACGTATGAAATTATGTTCTTTATTTTTAATTATAAGACTAAATCACCTCCAGGATGTCCCACTGACGCTGTAGAGCTGGACTCCACCAGTCCAGAGCCGACGGGTATGCTGGCGCCCTCTAGTGATGAACCCCTGGTTTTGATGGGTGTTTGGCACGTGTGCACATCACCGTCTCCCTCTAGTGGAGAAGCGAAGCGGTGCGTGTCCATCAGCGCTGAGAAACGCCGACGCGCGCCGGGAGAACTGGACTCTGATTCAGTGAAGGACAACTCTGAACACGACAAACGCTTCCTACAGAGACAGCAGGACAAATAGAGGGGTTTACTGAAGATTATGTGTCTCTCTAATCAAAATTAGATGTTTATATTTTCTCGAGACATTGTGAGGTGCTAGAAAGGGTGGTTGCTAGGGTGTTTTTGGTGTATGCTATGCAGTTGTTAGACAGTCCTGGGTGATTTTAAACATTTCTAGGTGGTTTCTAAGGTGTTCTGAATGGTTGCTATGGCATTGCTAGGTGGTTACTAGGGTGTTTTTAGTATATGCAGTTGGTAGGCAGTTCTGAGTGGTTATAAATGTGCGACTTCGTGGTTGCTAGGTGTTTTCCAAGGTGTTCTGAAAGGGTTGCTAGGGAGTGGTTTTAAATGTGATACTATGTGGTTTTCTAAGGTTTTCTGAGTGGTTGCTAGGCCGCTTTTAGTGCATGTTGTGCAGTTAGGCAGTACTGGGTGGTTTTAAATGTGCTACTTTGTTGTTGTTAGGTGGTTTCTAGGCTACTCTGGGAGGTTGTTATGTTGTTGCCCTCTGTCTTTCTTACATCTCAGGGGATCCGGTTCTCCAGGTCTTGTCTCGGAGGGTCAGGCTGCCTAGACTTTCTCTCTTACTGCGATCTTCTCTGTGAGCTTTGGGCTCTCGGCGGGTCACCACAGACTTGTGCTCCAGCTGGGACAGATGCTCCATGCTGCTGTACACCTGTGATTCAGATGCACTAGATGAATCGTTGAATGGGCTACATTACCCATAATCCTTGCGATTGTGTAAACGGCAGAATCATTCTCATGAGACAGAGAGGTCTAACCTTGCTGAAGCGTGGTGAGCAAGAGGAGAAGCGGTGAATCTCCACTGGCTCATCGTCATTGGTGTCGTCCTCATCGTACGAGTGAACGTGATGATACCGCTCTGATCGCGCTGAAAAAGACAGATGAGTTACTCACTAACGCACACTAACAGACGACAGCACAAACACACACTATCTGTCTGTCACTCACTGTCGAAGTAGCTGGTGTCCTCCTCCGACTCCAGATGAGGGATGAACTCGGCTTTCTGTCGGAGCAAACTGCTCCAGTCCAGATCACAGAAGAACGAATGCTGCTTCACCTCGAACGCTCCACCTGCGCACAAACACATGACTTCAATCAGCGCATGCAGAACGTATGGCTCTACTAAAACAATAAACCATGTGAGGTGACGACAGCAATATGATAAAAGACAATCAATGTTTAGTAAATTATCAAATGAACTACTAATAATAGTAATCATTAAAAACAGATATTTACATTTTTCTTAAGAATATGCTAGATGCTAGATGGTTTCTAAGATGTTCTGAGTGGTTGCTAGGGTGTTTTTGCATGCTATGCGGTTGTTGGGGGTTCTGAGTGGTTTCATACCTGCTATGGGTTGCTTAGTGGTTTCTAAGGTGTCTTGAGTGGTTGCTATGCTGTTGCTAGGGTGTTTTAATGCATGCTGTGCAGTAAGTGCTTCTGAATGGTTTTAACTACTTATTACTATGTGGTTTCTAAGGTCTTCTAAGTGGTTGCTAGGCTGTTGCTAGGTTGTTTTTAATGCAGGTGGTTCTGAGTGGTATTAAAGTTGCTACTATGTGGTTGCTAGGTGGTTTCTTAAGAAGTTCTGAGTGGTTGCTAGGGTGATACTGCAAGGTTGTTATGTTGTTACTTAGGTATTCTGGGTGGTCAGACCTTGAGTCCCTCCTTCTGTCTAAGTCTATGGGACATTTTCACCTGTTATACTGTCCAAGAATGAACCAAAGTTCAAAAAGTAGGTTTAGGGATTTGAGTTTTGAGCGTTTTAACTATTTTTCAGCCAAGAAATGTGCTTTTTTAAGTATAATTTTTTTTTAGATATGCTACAAATGCTTCAAACATGGTTCATACAAGCAGATTTAGAGGCCTTATAGTACAGCTCTTATCTAAGTCAACAGCTCTAACATTTAGATTACATCGGCGTCTTTAGTGACAGCTGGTCACATGACTGCAGGTGTGTGACGTCACCTGTGCCCAGTCTGAGCAGCGGGTTTGTCTGCAGGAGAGATGCGATCAGGTGCTGCGCATCAGCGGGGAGGGCGTCATCATCATCGGGCCACACGATGTCATCTACACACATGCATATTTGACATTGTGTACATCTTCTTTATTTGGATTCATGAGAAAGTTTCTCCGTGTGAACTATCTGGTGTTTTTATTGTACGTGTGTCTTTACCTGTGATCACCTGACCAAACAACTCCTCCGGTGTGTCGCCGAAGAACGGCACGCAGCCCACCAGAAACTCGTAGAGGATGATGCCCATGGCCCACCAGTCCACTGGCTTGCCGTAACCCTGCCGCAGGATCACCTCCGGGGCGATATACTCTGGGGTGCCGCAAACCTGGGGTCAAAGGTCAAAGAACGACAGTCAAGCCTCTTAACATGACAACATCAGTGACACTTTATCATCACCTTGAATTATAAATTCTGCTACATTACATTTGTTATGTTAAAATAAATTAAATGAATCAAGTCATTTTAATTTAGAGACAATTGCAAAAGCTACTACAATAAAGCCAAGCTACTACAATTTCAGTGTGTTGCTATGCGGTTGCTAAGGTGTTTGGACTAGTTTTCAGGGCGTTGTTATGCGGTTATGAGGTGTTTGGATTGCTTTTCAGCATGTTGCTATGCGGTTGCTGAGGCAGTCGGAATAGTTTTTAGCGTGTTGCTATGCGGTTGCTGAGGCGGTCGGAATAGTTTTCAGCATGTTGCTATGCGGTTGCTGAGGCAGTCGGAATAGTTTTTAGCGTGTTGCTATGCGGTTGCTGAGGCGGTCGGAATAGTTTTCAGCGTGTTGCTATGCGGTTGCTGAGGCGGTCGGAATAGTTTTCAGTGTGTTGCTATGCGGTTGCTGAGGCGTTTGTAACAGTTTTCAGCATGTTGCTATGCGGTTGCTGAGGCGTTTGTAATACTTTTCAGTATGTTGCTATGCGTTTGCTGAGGCGGTCGGAATAGTTTTCAGCGTGTTGCTATGTGGTTGCTGAGGCATTTGTAATAGTTTTCAGCATGTTGCTATGCGGTTGCTGAGACGGTCGGAATAGTTTTCAGCGTGTTGCTATGCGGTTGCTGAGGCGGTCGGAATAGTTTTCAGTATGTTGCTATGCGATTGCTGAGGCGGTCGGAATAGTTTTCAGCGTGTTGCTATGTGGTTGCTGAGGCG